TGCGAAACCAGGTGGAGCAGGTGTTTGCTGAGCGTGATATATTGTCGTTTGCCGATAATCCCTTTGTGGTTAGCATGTATTGCTCCTTTGAGACCAAGAAGCATTTGTGTCTGGTCATGGAGTATGTGGAAGGTGGTGACTGTGGCACTCTGCTCAAGAACATTGGTCCGCTGCCCGCTGACATGGCTCGCTTCTATTTTGCCGAAACAGTATTAGCCGTGGAGTATCTGCATAGCTATGGCATTGTCCATCGAGATCTCAAGCCGGACAATTTATTAATCACGGCCCTCGGCCACATTAAGCTCACCGATTTTGGCTTGTCTAAAATGGGTCTCATGTCGTTGGCCACCAATTTGTATGAAGGCTACATTGATTCCGAGACGCGACAGTTTTCCGATAAGCAGGTAGATAGTGCTGATCCCTATACCTACACACGAATTTGCCTAATTATCTTAATCTCTGCAGGTTTATGGTACGCCAGAGTATATTGCGCCCGAGGTGATACTCCGTCAGGGCTATGGCAAACCCGTCGACTGGTGGTCCATGGGCATCATACTGTACGAGTTTCTTATTGGCTGTGTGCCATTTTTTGGGGAGACTGCCGAGGAGTTGTTTGCGCACACCGTTAACGATGATATTGAATGGCCCGACAGTGAGGATTGGCCCGTGCAATCGGAGGCCAAGGACATAATAACACAGCTGCTACAGCAGAATCCGCGCGATCGTCTGGGCACTCAGGTCGGCGCATTGGAAGTGAAGGAGCATGTCTACTTTCAAGGCATGGACTGGAATTCGCTGCTACGCCAAAAGGCTGAGTTTGTGCCGCAGCTGTCACACGAGGATGACACCAGCTATTTTGATAGTGGGTAGACCACAGCTCCATTCAAGAGCGCTGCACGAGTCTGAGTGAAAAACATAATTATTTGATATACATAATGTAACTATATTAACTGTTAAACGATGCCCCGTAGTATCTGTCATTATAAGCCTAAGATGCCAATTGCAAACTTATTCACTCGTGCGAGTCTCTGCATCCATTTGCACAAAACATATTAATTTCTTATCATATTTTAAACAGCCCGCATGGATCGCTACAACCACGATCTGGGCGGTGAAGATACCGATGACACCGACGATACGCCCGTCTTTGGTAGCTTCAATTCCTACACTCCGCAATATCGCAAACAGCATTATAGCTGGTCACGCCACGCAACGGACAGCGCCAAAGGAACGCCAACAACGTTGCCTTCGCGGGCGCAGGAAACGGCTACAGCGACGGTGACCATAGCTACAACGGGAGCGATGCCCAAGCTCAAGCCGTCGGCTGTGAGCCAAGAGGGTGTGGTCAACAAGTTCTTGAACACGCCTCAGTTGCGTAAACTGGATGTGAGTATATTGACTGATGGAGATGATAATCAATTGATCTTATACATATATTTTGATTCGATTTCATTTGCAGCTCTCATCCAGTTGCCTAAAGGTGCCCTCCACGCCTGACAGCGAGTATTTGCCGGAACTGTTGCATAACGTCACCATTGGCAACGATGCTGAGCTGCGCATGCTCAAGCATTATTTGCAACAGCCAACGCCAGCGGCTGTGCGTTTGCAGCAGCGGCACAGTATGCCACCGAATACAACGACCATCATTAGCACACCGGCAACACCGCCTCCACCGACACAGTCGTCCACGGTGACACCGCAACCAACAAGCGTGAGCAGCTTTTCGCGCAGCACGCCGGAGAGTTCTCAAACGGACAGCGATGACTTCTCGCCGCAAATCAATCGCAAACGCAAGGGCGTTTGTGCGCGTGACATATTGCCACGTTTCTCCATCTCGATTGAAGATGAAACCATCAGCGCCGGCAGCTCCTCTACGGAGAACATGAATATACGTGAGCAGTCACCTCTGGCACTGCAGCATCAGCCCAAGTCCATGGACAGCAGCAGTGGACCGACTTCATATGGCGTCAAGCATCATCGGTCGCGTTCTATTGTCAAATCTGCGTCGGCGCTGGGCCTTTCGCTAATGTCGTCGCTGGACAACACGCAACTGGCGGCACAGCTTTGTGGCATTCAGTCACCGGGAAGCGCTGGTGGTGGCGGCAATGGCTCCAGCACCGCTAGCTCAAGGGATACATCTCCCTGTCGCGAGCTCTCGCCGCTTGTCACCAATCTCAAGCCACCCATCATTATACGTCGAGGACCGCGTGGCTTTGGATTCACTGTGCACACTATACGCGTCTATTATGGCGACACAGATTTTTATACCATGCATCATTTGGTCATGGCCGTGGACGAGGGCAGTCCCGCGTTTGAGGCTGGTCTGCGACCCGCCGATCTCATCACCCATGTTAACGGCGAACCCATACAGGGCCTGTTCCATACGCAGGTATTGCAGCTGTTGCTCAGCGGTGGCGAGCATGTGACACTGCGTGCTACGCCCTTGGAGCACACCAGCATACAGAGCGGTGGTCGCAAGCGTGACCTCATGCAAATCAAGCTGGCCAAGAAGGGCGTTAATCGCCAGAAGAAGCAAACGAAGCGAGAGCACGACAAGAAGCGCAAAACATCGCTATTTCGGCGCATAAGCAGCAAACGTGCAAACGCCGAGATGCAGCAGGTAGGTTGCGTGGAGCTTATGAGTATTTCACATATATACATATATATTAATCTTTTACATACATATAATTCCAGTTCTCGGCGGGCACTAGTTCACCCACCACGCCATCGGCACGCAATCTATCGCCGTTGGACTCTTCGTATCACAGCAGCAGCTGCTGTCAATCGGCAGCTAACTCCTCATCGCAATCAACTTCACCTTCATCCTCGTCACCCAACACGCCCACCGGTTCTAGTGGTAATGGTAATGGCGCAGGCAATGCTAATGCTAATGCTAATAATTCCGCTAATGCAGCACCAGCTGCTGTCTTGAGCGGGCAGCTGCCACTGCCGCCGGCTAGTCCAGTTGTCTTGCTACCGCATGTGGGCGCCGTTGTAGGCAATAGCGCTACTTCTGTGGGCAATGTGCCAGGTGAGTCGAAAAGCCTTAACTCTTTGTTATAACTGTTGGATTAAACGCGCATTTCTTATTAAGTTTCACCCACGGGCGTAGTGCCACAGCTATATCAGCGTCCCTCAACGCTACATGGTCTTAAGCACAAGCTGCACGCTGCAGCCACTGGGGCTGGTGGCACGGCTGCCAGCGGCAATGCGGGTGCAGGGTTGAAGACATTGCACACTTCGAGCAGCAATGCGCTGCCAAATCGGCGCAAGTCTGTGGGTCATATACCGCTGTCACCTTTGGCGCGAACACCGTCGCCATCGCCATTGCCGTCGTCGCCAACTCGATCACCATCTCCGTTGGCCTTTCCACTGGTGGGACATCAACCTGGCGCCTCCAATACCACGCAATCGTATAGTCCAGGTAGCACGTTGCCCACGCTGCAGACAGCGGTGAGCGCCAGCAGCAAGAAGGCTGGATTTGCACGAACCAAATCAGCAGAACCGAGCTCGCCACTGTTGCGTCGCGCACTGTCGCCGGATCGACTGCATCCGCGCAGTGCAGAGACAAAAATTTCGCCGCTATGCTGCTCACCGCCCATTAAACAGCAAACGCAACATCATCAGCATCAACGTGTTGTGGCGGCCACTTGGCGACCGGCTGCTGGTGGTGCTGGAGTTGGAGCTGGTGGAGCCCCGCAGCAACAGCAGCAGTTAGGCAACAGCAACAGCACTGACGAATCTCAAAGACAAACAACTTCGGCCATAACAACAGCAGTGGCTGGTGGAGCAGCATCCGCTTCTGTTGATAATCAAGCAACGAATAATGCAGCCGTAGCCGGCAACTGTGAGCTTTTGCCACGCATTGCCGAAGAGAAGGATTCGCCTACTAGCATACAGGACAGTAGCAGCGGGTCAGAGATCTTTTTGCCGGCTATTGAGGAGCATGCTGAAGGCGAAACTTCATCGCCTACGCAGACGCTGGAGAAGCCATCGCTCAAAGCCGAACAGCCTGACAAGGCCAAGAAGGCCGAAATGGGTAAGTTTTAATTGTAAACGGCACTAGTTCTTATGCATTAACAAAAATATTCAATTGCAGGTAAAATTAATGCGTCCAAAAAATCTTCGATTACAACGACTAGGCCAGTAAGCGCCAGTGATGTCCCATTAGCTATGGGAGGAAGGGAGCCATTGGCTTCAGCAACGTCAACCACGGGCAAGGGATCAGTAGCTACGGCAACAACAACAGACGCAACTTCGGCTGCCAAGCAGAAGAAGTAGCGCCACAGAACTGGATGTTTGTGTTTTAAATTTCATGTTTAGCGTATCTAAATGTTCAGTCTAAATATTTACAAATCGATACGAACGAAGAGTAAGCGAACAAAGTAGCTGCAGGAATTTGATAACTATATTCAAGGGATTGTATTGAAGACAAGCTTAAATGCATGATTTGGGCAGAACCGTATAAAATTAGCAAAAAAAAAAAATTACTTAGAAAATTGTGGAAAACTAGTAGTATGTAGTCTCGTATCTAACAAAATTCCTAATACAAATTGTAAATTAGTAAAAAAAAAAAAAGAAAAAAAGAACAGGAGAAGATCGCAGTAGGAATGTAAAGGCGGCAGCAGGCAATTATCAATATTGTATTTGTATATAAATGTATAACATTGATAGAATTAAAGTTCAGTAAGAAGAATGGAAACGCCCAAGAAATTTAACGCAACGAGCTGGTGAACAGCTGAGTAAAGTAAAGCTAAAGTACGTAAATAACACAAAGCAGCTTGCTCAGTCAAATATTCGAGCGTTTTTTTGCGAATCTATAATCTATGCCGAATTCAATATATATTGTATTAAATAAATGTTATATGTGTGTATTCGAATGTTGATTAACCAATTTAAATATGCATGCTAGGCGCCAACATTTCAATTATGCATTTGTTGTAAAATATGGTCACACTGCTGCCGATTGAGATTGTAAATGCAATGCACATACGATAACATGCCTATCGATAACACATTTGCCAGCTGTGCAGTTTGTACCTAAATATTATAATTTCACGCCTAGTTTTCAGAAAAATGCTTCCCAAATTAAGAATATCAGCTTTTCTGCTTAAGGTAAGTCGTTTACATTTTTTCCAAGCCGTATCTGTTATTTTTTTGATGATGTACTCTTCAGCGCCTGGAGCGCGTGAAGCTGCAGTGCAGCGGTTGTTTATACGGCGTGTTTTATGGAGAAAGCACCTTGCTACTCTTGAGTTTCAATGTTGAGTCAAGTGTGGGTGAACTGAACTATGAGCATATACAGCACAAATTCCCAGCCGAGCTAGACTTGTGTGGCCTGGTTAAATTTGGCGACTGTACCGATACACAAGCTCATCTAAATGAAGTAATCTCATCGGTGGATATAACGGATAATCCGATATTGCTTCAATGTCAGCTGGGCACACTCGTTGGCTTGCGTGCATCGTTCTTTATACACGGCAAACTGGAACAAGTGCCGTACGAGGTCATGGAGGCACCACAACTGTATAACGATTTCTGTTTTACTCGCTTGAAGTGTGGTTTCTTTTTGCACACGGCGCCAACGCCGGAGTCCATAGCCAAGGAGATGCATGCGCTTCGCAAGCGGGTAGCCGATGGAAGTCTGGTGTTTAATGTGCCACAAACGAAGATATATGTGAGCAGCAACTGTGGAACGCAGCACCAAAGCTTCAACAGTGACTCACTAATTGAAACGCTCATCGCTGAGATTCCCACCCCCACAGAATCCCCAACAACAAGCAACAAAAAGAAAGCTGCTGCTACTGCACCGGAGCTGGCCAAGTATTATGGCGCTGTGGGCTGTGCCTATGATGTGATTAACATTGATGTCTTGCGCTGTCGCACACGGGAGCTTGGAGGAGGCGATGCATCGTCGCATCCAGCGCTAAGTGTTTGCATAACGAATGAGGATTCCAGTAAGCAGCAGGTGCCACTGGAGCTCGAAGCAATGGCCATGCTCTGCAAGAAGACGAAGCTGCTGCGTTTGTATGATGTCCTTATAGAGAGCATTTGTCGCTCGCTGCGTCTGTTCGAACAGTGCCTCACCGAGCGGCTCAACGAGCAAGAAACGGCGGCATCTGAGACGTTGCTACTGTCGCCGCGCAGCTATCATTTTTATCCTCAGGAATTTGGACACTTTCTGAGCTGTGCATACTTGGAGCAGCTGAGCGATGACGAACCCAGTGTACAGGAGAAACGCAAGCGGCTGCATCGACAGTTTGCATTGCCCGCCACCCGGCCGTATTTCAGGCGTGCGAATCAGTGTCGCTTCCAAGGTGACATAGACACGTCGACTTGGACGCCGCTGCTTAACACACATCTGGGTGTACGGCCCAGCGGAGTGACTGATGGCAAAGAGTATCTGGTGAATGGCAACTATCATTACTATCACTATTTGCAGCAGCAGGTACAGGATAAGGGCTGGGGCTGCGCCTACCGATCGCTGCAGACGATATGCTCGTGGTTCCTGCTACAGGGATATACGGAACGTGCGATACCCACGCATTTGGAAATACAGGAATATTTGCACAAAATAAACGATAAGCCTTCATCATTTGTGGGCTCATCACAATGGATTGGCTCCACTGAGCTGAGCATGTGTTTGCAGGGTTTCCTCAATGTTGATTCCAAAATTTTACACGTTGCTTCTGGTGCTGAGCTCTCCACGATTGCCCCGGAGCTGGCCATGCATTTCCAGACGCAAGGCACACCTGTCATGATTGGCGGTGGCGTCCTGGCTCACACAATTATCGGCGTGGACTACTGTGTGCAGACGGGCCAAGCGAAGTTCTTAATACTTGATCCTCATTACACTGGCGCCGATGATTTATCCACCATACAGATAAAGGGCTGGTGCGGCTGGAAGAGCGTGGACTTTTGGGACAAGAAGAGCTATTATAATCTCTGTATGCCCCAGCGGCCCATTTTATATTAAACGTTCCAATTATGCATTTAAGTACGATGTTATGTCAAGCTTTAATGTTTCGTGTTGTTTATGAATTTAATGTATGTACTGTATTTTATATATCTATATATACTATAATGTGTATAACTGGAGCAAATAGTGTTTATTATCTTTCACCATCTTTGATGAAACTCTAGCACTGGCTGATGGGAAAGCCACAGTAAGAACGGAATATATATTTATATATAGATGGAGGTATACCTTTTTATTACAGAACGTGTCCACAGTTGCCTTTATTCAAAGAATAACAATTCAAATTTGTGCTTGTTACAATAGGGCAACTGTTAAGAACGTTATACGCTTATATATACAATTAAATGAGTTAGCTTAAATACGAAGTATAGTAATTCGGCGCTAGCCGCCGCTTTTTGAGTACTTCTTCCAGTAGCGCTTGACATCGTCGTGACCGTTCTTCTGTACCACCATGGTGCGGGTGCGTTCATTCTGCCACACCAGCATGTTTATGGATTGGGCGTAGTCGCGCAGCGTTACAAAGTCGTTTTGTGACAGGAACTGATTGTAAACAACGCCCTCTGTGTATGTGAAACGATTGCGTTCCATTTCCCAGAGTTTGATTTGATCTACAATTGTGGGCGGCAGGCAGGACTTCGATTGAATGGCTGATTCGACCAGTTTCATGTTGGGATGTGCATACTGTTCCAAATAACTGACGATTTGCTCGGCCGTAATGCCGCCTCGCAGTGCTTGGCGCACAGAGTCGCGTGTGAGGACACCCACAACGAGATTGGGAAAGCGATAGAGCAGCTCGGTAAAAAGACCGAGTACAGCCACCTGCAGCTGTGAATCTGTGTAGGCATAAACGCGGTAATTGGTTTCCACCACGATGTAACCCCTCTCCTGCATGCGCTCCTCATCCGCCGATGTTGAAGCCTGTGCTGCATCCTTGTTCGTTACATTCAGCGCCAGTCGTGTGGGATAAAAGCGACCCTCCTTGCGTTTCCGTTGAAACACCAGCCCAAACTCACGTAGATGCTGCAAAAACGTCAACATCTGATTGTTCATGCCCTCTGAGCTGTAGTCGCGTCCAAGCGTCGAGAAACTCAACTGAAACAGCATGGACAGGCACTCAGGCAGACAGATGCCGCGCTCCTCGCATGTCTCCAAATACTGGAGCATAAAATGCCAGACCTGAGCGCGCGTGTCTAGCAACAAAAACTGAAATCCCTGACGTGTAATGGTGATACCATCGCGCTCGTCGCGCTTCATAAGATTCGCATGTAGCAGAATGCGCACCGCATCTGGACTGATTGCCTCGGCATCGGTGCCGCCACGGCTGCCCGTGCCCACCATATAGTGCAGCACACAGCGCCAGCGGGACATGGCATACGAGTCCAGAAACGCAATGTCACGCGGCTTGGAGTCCCTATCTAGTGTATTGGTCATTGCCCAGGGCTTGCCACCGCCCAGTAGCACCTGACGAACGCTCTTCTTAAACGTTGGTGACAGCTCCCAAGCAGCCAGGCCGCCTGGTATGGCCGTGACGCGCCAAACACACAAAGCAGTCAGGCAGCTGGTGGCCTCCATTTGTTCCCTGCAAAGGATATGTGAATTCAGCTTGTTGATTGGACCGGATATTTGCATTACTTACTTGGCAACGCGTTGTGCACCCCATGAGGTGACAACGGCTTGTGGCACTGGCTGATCTATGAACAGTATGCGAATTACAAACTGTCTTGCGATTTCGGGCAACTCGCGATAGACCGCCAGGCAAATGGGTGGATAATTGTAGAGCTTCTCTAGCGTCTCGGGTGTTTGGCGGGTGCGCAGATATTCCTGAAAGTTCTTGCACTCCAAATTCTCTGGACTCTGTACTAGGGGGGATATAGCAGCGCTGCTGCTCGCATAACGGCCGGATTTTGTATCGGCCATGGCACGATGCACCCGAATTTGTTTAACAATTTCGCGTCTGCATGTAGGCTGATATCGTGCCGGTATATCGATATATTTAACTTAAGCTTGGATATGCGATATAATTGAGGCTGCGTTATTAATGATATCGATATTGTAATGAATATGAATGATTTTTTTACAAAATTTTATTTTTACTTTAAAGTTACAAGAACAATATTGCTAAATTAGCCATTATATCGATTGATACAATATTTTTTTTTTTAGTTATTTTAGTATAACTTGCGTTTTGTGAACAGCGTACCATTCACAGTCTCGTAGCGATAGTTTTCTATTGTGAATGAGCATATTAGTCGATAACACTCAGCTGTTTTTACCACCGCGTGTTTTGTAAAGTTGGTCGGCTTAAAATTCGTAAAAATGAGTGATGATGAAGAGCAATATAATCCGGCGGCGCACAAGAAGCTGCTGCAGGCCATTGGCAATCTGGGCAATGTGCAGCATATACGCAAATCGACACGCGACGAGCGCCAGCCCCAACAGGATGAATTTCAGCTGTTTAAGAGCGCCAAAAGTACACAGCATGCTCCTAAGGCCGTTGGCCTAAACGATTTGGTCCAGATATTGCGCACATCCAAGCACATCGAAACAGGCAAGAAGCTTAAGAATGTGCACAGCACCAAAAAGGTGCTCGAGAAACCGCTGGAAAAGCCGGCTGCCGATCGCATCAAACGGACTATTGGCTACGAGGGTGTAAAGAAAAAACTTGGTCGCTGGGACGCAGTCGTGGCCAAGCAGCGTTCTGCCGAGACGCAGGTGAGTAATGATTTGAATATTATAAGAAAGTCTGTGCTTTATTCAAATCCTTGCAGATATTTCCCAAACCCACGGAAACCATTTACGTTAATACAGCGGCACACGCAAAAGCTCTACAGACTAGCATCAAATCCGATTTGGGCAAGGAGCTGGAAGCGAGCAACAAGAAGTTACGTGAGCTACGCAAAGCCCAAATTGGCGACAACACCGATGAGAAGGCATTGGCCCAACAAGAACGGGAGATGCTGCAGAAGAAAATGACCCGCGATGAGCTCTATGCGCGTCGCCGGGAACTGGCCTATTTAAAGATGCGCGAGTCTCAAAAGTCGGCTAAAGCGCGTATGCAGAACAAAATCAAGTCCAAGAAATACCATAAGCTGCAGAAGCGGCAAAAGATTTTGGAGCAAATGAAGGAGTTCGAGCTGCTGCAAAAGACCAATCCCGAGGCTGCGCTGGAGAAGCTAGATGCTTTGGAAAAGAGCCGCGTCATGGAACGCGCCAGCCTGCGGCACAAAAACACCGGCACCTGGGCCAAGAATCTACAGGTGCGCGCCAAATATGATAAGGATGTACGCAAAGATCTTGCGGAACAATTGGCTGTTAGTCGGCAGTTGACCGAGAAAAAATTGGATACAGATAGTGAGGATGAGAAAGCCACCAAAAAAATGGACCCAAATGAGCAAGAAGATTATGATCCAATGAATCCCTGGATGAAATCTAAGTCGGCGGCACAGGCTGCACCTCAACAATCTGCCGAAGAGGAATCTAACTGGCGCAAGTATTGGACTGAGCGCAATGAAAATGAAAAGCTGCTGGCTGAGCATTGTGCAGAAATTAAGGAAGTTGAGAAGCAGCAGAAAGTTCAGAAAGCCAAAAAGCAGTCCTTGGAAAAGCCCATAAAAAAGAAAAAGAAGCCCAAGGCGGTTGTGGAAAATGGCTGGCTGGTAGAGGAAGTTGAAACTCCAGTAAAAGTGAAATCAATTGATGAAATTTTTGAACAACATGACGAAAATATTCACGATAGGATAAGTAAAAAGCTGGCAAAGCTTCGAAAGCAAGCAGAAAAGCTTAAGGAGCCCACTAAGAAATCCAAAAAGCCGAAAAAGGAACGAGATGAACTGAAAAACCTGAAGGATTTAACGTTCAAAAAGACTAAACAGCGCGTGGAAATCGATGAGCCGCTCAATCAAGAGGAAATAACACCAAAACTGGCCGCACAAACTGCTGGCGACTTGACCAAATCGGACGAAAAGCCAACCGAAACCACACAAACAGCTGTTACTGCGATCGATCCTAAAAATGTGACCACTATCACGTGGAAGCAAACGATGCGAAGCTCGGATGCAATGAACAATGCACTTGCCGAAGACGATGCGGCCGAATATGATGAAGCGGATGCTGCCGCCGAGCGCCAATTGACCATTAGTCAAGCTTTTGAGGATGATGATATTATAGCTGATTTTAACAAGGACAAGACAAAAGACTCTGAGCTCAAGAACACTGAACTGCAGCTAGCTATGCCTGGTTGGGGCTCTTGGGCGGGCGCTGGCATATCCCAGAAAGTTATCAATAGGCGCAACAAGCGACTGTTACTCAAATTGGCGGCGCCGGAGAAGCGTCGCGACGACAACAAGGATAATCTGTATATCAATGAAACGACAAGCAAACAAGCGCGTGGCCATATGGTGTCCAGCATACCGTTCCCCTTCAAATCCCTGGCCGACTATGAGGCCAGCATACGTGCGCCCATTGGACGTAACTTTGTGCCGGAAACAGCATTCCGTATGCTAACACGCCCCGCTATCATCACGCGCAAGGGTCAAGTTATCGAGCCCATGGATGAGAGTGAATTGCTCAAACCAGAGCGCCGGCTGCGACACATTGTGGACAGAAGAATAAAGCGTCTGCAAGAAGCGGACAAAGCGAAATAAGGTGAGGTAGCGTAGTGTACAATAAAATTATGTAAAGCAAACACGTTACCCAAAAGAAAAAAAGTTAAATCTAATGGTCTTTTGTTTTTGTATATCCCTTCGAGCCTTAAAAGGCCTATCTTTCTTATAAGCATTTACATTTTTCTTTTCTCGGGTATCTTAAGTCCCATATTGTAGTAATAATAACTTTCAGGACTCGAAGTATCGATTCGAAAAATATTCTATCAATTTTTGGTTCAGAAATCAAAAATTTGTTGATTCTAGATTGCTAGAATAGATCACCTTTATTGGATCGTATTTTAGTTAATAGAGTTATGGAAAATATTGAAAGTTAATTGCCAGATTTTTTGCAAAAATCTGCTGCATACTTTTAGGAATTTAAATGTTTGGTGCAGTTTATGAAAACGGGTCAACCAGGGTGGAGATCTGCGTTGATCTTAGGGCGTTTGGAACTGTTTCGAAGCTTTAGGTTCACTTTTGAACCTGAAGTAAAAATGAATTTGTGGTTCGTCTTTAGATTTTCACAAGCACAAAAAGGAAGTTCTTGCCAAGAAACTTTAAGCGTAAAGAGTAAAAATGGTAACTTTGTTGTAAACAAATTATAAGTTTTTCTTTATTTTTTATTTTCGATTGGAAGCTGCAATAGCTGCAGTCTAAACTATTTGACATTTAGATGTATAATGTACACATATATGTATATGAAATTTGTATTTATTTTTTTTTATTACTGCTTGCAATTTGTCTATTGCTTTAGATGTTTTGTTTTGTTTTGATTTTATTATTTTATTTTGCTGCATGTAGCTACAATTTCGCTAATAGTATATTTTAATAATAGTATGTATGTATATTTTTTTTTTATACTCTTGCATAATACTTTGCTTTGCCATTTCACATACGCATGCACACGAAGCAAAAGTTAAAGAACTAGCAATAAACAAAAGTTCTTAACACATCATTTAATTCTTAGCATTAAAAACTACTTAACATAAACGGCTCACATCAAATTGGATTTCATTTTTAGTGTAATTTGAAACATTCATGTACTGAGTTTCGATTCCGAAATGAAAAGCTATTCTTGAAATTGCTTCTTTTTTTTTTTTTTGGAAATTCTCAAAGTTGAAATTCAGAACATGTTGATCAAATTTAAGACATGTAAACATATACATGCATCGTATTTTTTTTTATATATGTTTTTTACTGCTGGCTTAGGAAAATGCCACGACTTTGAGTCGTATTTTCTTCTATTTTTTTTTTTAAATCTTCTTTTTTTGTTTGAATTTTAGAGCTCATAGAATTGAACCCTGCTTTGCATTATTTAAAATTTATGTTTTGAACTTGTTCTACTAAAATGCTAATAAAAGACACTTTTTGCCAGGCATTTCAAAATTGCTAATTGTTTGATTTTTCCCCATTAACACGTACATAAACCCCCCCACTCCCCCACCCATTTCCCAACCCGTCCCGCCCAATACCCTGTCCCAACCCGAACCCCAACCCCATTTAGTTTTGGTAAGCTTAACGGCTGGCAATTGTATATTGTAATACCCTGTTTTCCTTGCCGCAGCGGCTGTCTACATTAGCGTACAGCACTTGCGACTGTTGCTGGTGCTGTCGCTGACCACATCGCCAGTGTTGCCACTAAATTTATTAACTGAATTGGCGTTGCCAACTGCTGCTGCTGTTGCTGCTGTCGGCGCAGCTGTCTCAAAGTCTAGCAAGCTGGGACTCATTGCGCCCAGGCCCAGGGGCTGGCTGGCGATTGGTCCAGTGCTCAAGTTGTTGTTGTTATTGTTATTGTTAGCGCTGCTATTGTTGTTGTTGTTGTTGTTGTGATTAACGGAAGTGGCGGCTCCTAAAACAGAACCATTAGTTGTTGTTGTTGTAGAAGTAGCTGTAGAAGCAGTTGCTGCTGTTGTTGTGGATGAGAGCTCGAAATTGTTAAGCACATTGGCGGTGCGCGAGAGCGAACGTTGCTTTTTCAAATTAGACAATGTAACGGCACCCGCATCCATAGCAACATATTGCTGCTGCTGCTGATGCTGCTGATGTTGCTGAAGCTGCTGCTGTTGCTGATGATGATGTTGCTGCAACAGCAGCGCATGTTGCTGCAACTGTTGTTGATGTTGCTGGCTATGTTGCTGCTGATGATGCGTGCTGTTTGTGTCTACATGAGTTGGTGTTGATGGTGGGTGGTTGGGTGGGTTTGGCGGTTGGTATTTTTTTTTTTTTGTTTTTTTGTTGATGATGATGCAGGCAGACAGAGGCAGACGACACAAAACGAGCGCAGCGAGCCGAACACAAAAAATAAACATAAAATCACAAGCAAATGTTATTTAACTTCCATTTTGTTCTCTCTACATAATATACGAATTTTGTATGCCCTATCGCCGTTATAATAGCAGCGAAGTTGTTTTGCTGAGTTTAAGTTATTGTCTATGTTTGTGTGCTTGTGTGTGTGTGTGTGTGTGTGTGAAAGTAGACACAGGTGTTTAATTTAGTACAAGGACAAAATACGTTTTGTTAGTAGAAGCATTTGTTTAGTCACTTTGAGAATTTGTTATATTTTAAACAGGTATCTGATGCAAAGAATATTTTGATATAGTTTTGTAAAACTGCATAGATATATCAAATATGAAAACTACATATAAGTCGGAATCAGAAAAAATATCTCTTGAAATGAGATATGTTTTAATCTACTAAATAATCAAATCAAATCAAAACTACGAAACAAAGAACAGATGAATGAAATCTCATTTTACAAAAGAAATATAAATAAGCTACGAGTTAACTCTCAAACAGAAACAGAAAGTACTTTGGAATAGAAGCGTTCTTCAAGCTTTTACTTGGAAATTGGAAAACCCTCTGAATCGAACTCGAATTCAAAGCTTTCCTTTACTGAAATTTATGAAATTTGAATATGTTGCAAAGCATTTTAAGAAACGGGCTTCAATTAGCAGAAACTAGTTAGTTGCATTTCTATTGTTGGTTAGTTACATTTTATTTAGTAGATTATCTCAATTGTTAATAATGAAGAGCATGCGCTAGTCGTTGCAACTGTCAGTGAACTGTCAGCATGCTTTTTATCTCGAGTTCGTTTTAGTAGAGTCGTTAAACACACATTAGACAGTGACATTTGACACAAGGGGAAGCATTTAAGCGGCGCTGCTTGATTGCAGCAGGCGCTGGTGTTAGTTGCGGGTGTGTGTGTGTGTGTGTGTGTGGTGGGTGCAGGTGTCATGTTTGAGGTGTTTGTGATACTCACCCACTAGCACTGTGACCTGCACGTTGATCTTGCCATTGCCCGCCGCCTTGGATGATTGAATCTGCACCGCCTCGGCGCTGGCGGCGGTGCCCTTGTCAGTCAGGATGACAGCGGCGGCAGAGGTGGCACGTTGCAGCTCACCGACGCCGGCGCCGATGCCGGCATCGCCAGCCTTGAGCAGCAGCTGTTCGTCGTTCTCGCGTCCGTCGGGCGGACGACGCGGCAGATAGGAATGTGTCGTTGTGAGCGTTATGTTGTCCACCGCATCCGCGGATTTCGAGTGTGACAGCAATTGGCTGCTCAGGCTGCCAGTGGAGGGGCGTTTCTCGGCATTGTTGTTGTTGTTGTTGTTGTTACTGCTGCTGCTGCTGATGTTGTTGTTGCCGCTGCTACTGCTGCTGGTCGTGTGATAGCCATAGCCATTGGGCAGCTCGGCAGCCGCCGGCGCCGTTGTGGAGTTCGTGTCGGTGGCCTCCTGCGCCTGCAGACGCAGACGAGCCTCTTCCACGGCATCCTTTTTGGTTGTAAGCGTTTTGTCGCGCAGGCTGGTGCGACGCACCGATTGGGCTCTGCATAGAGGAGAGAGAGAGTCGGGTTAAGCTGTGCATTTGGAGCTCGGGTCCCTTGTTATTCACCTGGTATTGTTGCTCTGCGAGCGTCGAACGCGCCTTCGTTGCGCCTCCGCCAGTCGTTTGCTCTCCTGCTCCGTTTTCAGCTGCTCGATGCGTTCACGTATCTCTGGATCCTCGCAGATATCTAAAAAGAGACGCCGAATTGTAGTGTGCATAGTGTGTGGTGCAGTGTACCTACCCGAAGGCGTTTCGTCATCCTTGTTGCGCACATTCAGATCAGCACCACATTGCGCCAACATCTCCAGAACTTCGAGCTGTGGAGGAGTTGCAGAGTGAGGGCAGGCTCTTTAGGTGCGATGAATAGAAGGTTTACTTACGTGACCCCAACATGCTGCCGCATGCACTGGCGTCCACAGATCCTTGTCCATGGCATCCACATTGACATGCTGCTCCAGCAGAAACTCCACCACGCGCACATAGCCATTGGCAGAAGCTATGTGCAGCTGCAAGCGAGAGAGAGATAGGGAGGGAGAGAGGGAGACAGTTTAGTTGTGCACAACAAATGTGGTTGTGTGTGTGTGGCTTACCGGTGTGGCGCCTTGATAGTCCGGCTCCTCGAGATCAGCACCGGTGCGCGCCAGCTCCATTAGATCCTTGAGCATGACCCGTTCCGTGGAGGAGCGCGTCTCATCGATCAGCTCCTGGGTAACGCCGCGCTGCGCCATCTCGCCCTCAATAAAATCGAGGGTATTCTCATCGTCGCACAAATCGTACGGCATATTGCCGTCCGTGTTCACGGCCAACAGATTGGCATTGTGCCGTATGAGTATGCGCACCAGCTCCAAATGGCCGCAGGTGGCCGCCGCATGCAGCGGCGTCCATTTATCACTGTCCTGCGCGTCCACATTGGCCCCGTAGTCGAGCAGCAGCCGCAGCATGTCCACGTTGTTATCGATGCAGCACTGATGCAGCGCCGTCAGTCCATCCTCGTTGGCCGCATCCGGCGTGATGCCGTGCTGCAGCAGGGCAGCCACCTCGGGCATATCGTTCCGCGAGGCAGCCTCCAATAGCACCACGCTGTTCTCAAAGGATATGTGCCGCCTGCCGCTCAAGGTGCCCGTGCCGTTGGCATGCCGGAAGTGATGCGTGGTATCGCCAGCGGCGCCGTTTAATATGCTGCTAACCGTGCCGCCGCCGCCGCCGCCGCCGCCGCTGCCCGTTTGACCCTT